CCTCCCATTGATACTCATTCTTCCATCAATGCTAGGAGGACTTTCATCAAAACGGTTTCAACTATAGGATAAATGGAGATTGGATACCCTTCGAGTGTGCAAAGGAGCCTTGATAGTGATGAAAAGACAATGGACTCCAAGTAATATTTATTGTCTGTTCAATAGTATAGTCGTAGGTGGAGTTACTTATATTGAGTTAGATGGTGATGCTACAAAATTATGGCATATGCGTGTGTGGACAATATCTAACAATATGAAAACATGTGTGCATGAGAACCCTCGGTGCACAATAATAGTCCTTCTCTTGCATTGTAAAATCTTAAACAAGTTTTGCTCCACTATCACTGAGACAATTTTCCTTATAATCTATATCATGATCACCATCCAAAGTGGAAGCGTCACATATCGCTCTAATACTATGTTAGTAGTTAGAGGATGAAAGGGATATCAATCATAGGCATAGGCCAAACAGAGAGCATACTTATAAGGTAACCATGGAGAAGGACACTAGAAGAGGATTGAATAGTGTTAATCAAATATTAAACACGTCTTTTCAAAATAACGAAGTAGTTGTGCAAGCCTAAAAGAGTGCAAACAAAACAAATCAAAGTACACAAGTTATTTGTATACCCGTTCATTTCAATCACCAAGAGTTTACAAAGAATGAAATAAATTGATTGCTTAAGTTATTCTTATTTTCTCTATAATATTCAAGTTACTTTATATAAGGGATCTTCGAAGATAATCGTTGCAAATCCTTAAGCGTTATTCGTTGACTTGCTTTGTCTTTCTTACTCGTAGAGTTAAGTGTTTGTTGGTGTAATAAATGCATACATTAAATGTGTTCATCAAATGTCACTTTTTATCTGATCAAGGAGGGCTTTTTAGATAACTTTACATACTTCAAGATATTTTCTCATCTTTTCTCTAGCAAAAAATGAATCCTCTTTCCTTCATGAATTTCAAGTACCAAAGGAACTTTTATTCTTTCAATTTGTTAAGGAATAACATGAAAATAGATAATAGTAACATTAGACATATTAAATGTGATATTTAAACCATTCATCTTAGACAAACAAAGTGTTTTGTTTAAGGTTATCATGCATTTCATTGTTCATAATCATGTTAAATTATAATCTTTAACATACGATCTTTTATACATATCTTTTATAAAAATGTTTGAGTTTATTAACATTAAAATGTAACTTTTTGAGAAATCTCAAATTGTCCTATATATATATGTGTGTGTGTATGTATAGACACACACATATAAGGTATGCAATTATTATCATATAAGAATAATTTCAAGCATGTGATAAAGATCATGTACTATACAACATAGGCTCCCCCTAAGATGGAGCTTAAAAGTTTAAGAAAAACTCATTTTTTGCTTGCTTATGTTTACTCTCCCTTTTGGTGCTTAGGTTACTTAGGTAATCCTATAACGACTTGCATGTTGTAGGGGTTGGAGAAGTGTAAATGGTTGAGCATGTTCAACTAAAGCCATTTTTAGATACATCAAATGTGATGGCCTTTTGTGTAGACTCTTTTGTAGTGAGCGTGATATCCTTATTGTACAACACCCAAATACTTGTTGAGTGTCCTTGAGCATCCCAGAGGAAGATGCGGGTGTAGTTAAGTTTATGCCATTCATCTACAACTTTGGCAGAAGGAATATGTATCTCGTATAGAAAGATCAAAGTTGGATGGTGAGTTTTGATCAAGTCACGAACATGTCTTAACTTGCATTGTCCTATAACACCACAAATGTTCCAAGACATAACAAAAGATATCCATAAAAAACTTAAACCAACGGGGAGGGGGATGCTAAGATTTAAGCATCCAGTGGGCGAGGTGGGAGGTTGACCTCTACTTGGTTCTACTCTACCATGGATGGTTGTGAAATCTCCATATCATCTTCACTTTCATTACCGTCCATAACCATGTTGTATTTTACATTAGTAATTGGTTAGAGGTTTAAAGTTGATTTTCCACCATTACCAATAGCGTAGCTGTCTAGAGTCTTGAGCAGGGAATACTCCAATACCTTCTTTACCTGGATTCATACATGGTGGTTCATGTACCTGGAATTTCATTACCTTTTTTAGCAATTGTATTGTAGGAGTGTTGAACTCTTTACATGGCCTTTTATTCCTTGTAGGGATCTTTGTGGGTGTGCCTTCATCCTAAGTATTTCACATTGGATCAATCCATGATTGGTTATTCTCTATTTTATTTGTAGCCACCTTATCTCTCATTATTCTTGAGGTTGTGTGGGGTTTGCATGAGTTCCTTTGTTTTTTTTCTTAAAGCTGTTACGTTGTAGACATTCATGATGCATAGGGTTCTCCTCATCTTTATTATCAGTCATACTAGCAAATCTGCTAGTTGGTGACTAGAAGGAATGTGAGAAACCTTAAGCTTGTTTTGAGAGACCAAGTTGTGAATAAAATGGTAATTAATTGCCAAATGTTTCATTCAGGAGTGAAACACATGATTAGCACAAAGATAGGTTGCAGAATAAATTTGTGGAACAGAAAGTGACACACCGAGCTCTTGAAGAAGTTGTTGCAACTAAAGCAACTCAATGATAGTGGAGGCAATTATTCTATATTCAACCTTTGAAAATGAACGTGCAACAATGGATTGTTTTTTGCATGACCAAGAGATGACATTAGGGCCAAGATAAACACCTATTGAGTTGCGATCAATGTTGTCACCACCCTAGTCAACATCACAAAAAAATTGAGACAAAAAATAGAAATAATATAAAATGAGGGACTAAAATCATAATTAATCCTTGTAAATATAAATAAAGCTTACATAATTTTTACAACTCTATTTTCATTGAAAACGAGGATAATTATCTTCCTCTCTTCTTTCCCTTAAAATTCAATTTCCAGACCATATCCTTGATAATTGTCTTAAATATTGATAAGATTACGTTGGCAAAAGGAGAACATTTCAAGGTCCATGCTAGATACTGCTAAAAAGCCACAACAAAATGCAAAAGGCCTCCTATACCCTAATTACCTACTCCAATCGTGTTCCCATGTCTTGCTTATTCTGTTTACATGATTTAGTCTCCAAACATACAATAAGACATGAATAAAGAGATTTAGTTACCATTATGGTCCCCATAAAAATAAAAGACAGGCTAAAAAAACCCCAAAAATAATATGCATAAAAATTAAAATTAAACGATTTTAACTATAAGGACTAAGTTGATAAAACTATTGGGATCAAATGCATAAATAAACAATAAAAGCTAAATAAAGCGCACACACTACAAAGAATAACGAGAGTCTCCCTCTGTGACAGATTATAAAATCATAGTAAATACATAGATCCACTCACAGCAAATTGCAGTATTGTAACAAACATATAGATTAACTCTGTTGCTCTGTTAGCTTCTACCTTGAACTTGAACGTGGATTCAATGATATTATTGTACTTATCTCAATTGGCACTTCTTGTGCGCAATTGACTTTATTTAATAAAATTGTCGCCTTCCAAAAAAAACCCGTACCACCGGGAGCCAATGCTCGCATTCAATTTCAAATATGCCTAGGAAAAAGACGAGATTTTGCCAAAAGAGACTAATAATCCTCAGGCTTTCTTTCTTGAAGTTTAGAAATCATTCTTCAAATATAAGGAAGCCCTCTTGCAATTTTGAGATGATGTTCGACAATCAGATACTAACACTCCTATCTTCCCTCGCAATGAGATACTACGATAATAAAGCAATGTGACTTGAAATAATGAATTGATCACGTGACATAGGCCACAATATTGTGTTTTCTCTGATGGAAAATGACTGCAAATCATCAATATTACATATCACATAAATGGGAAAGGCAGAATGCCATACATCAGAAATGATTTCTACAGTAAATTACAAAAAGCTCATAGTTATAGTTTCTTTTGTAAGAATTCAGAGTATACTATAACTGCATGAAGATGGGCATACATAAGTCCGACACAGTACAATCTAAGCATCGTAATGTGCAATAAAATGTAATCCTATCACAAAATAATTTACTAGATTTCTCGAAACATTCATGAGCACCATCCTTAAAATCATAAATGTCCTTACATAACAAAAAATTGTCTGTTTCTCCATGTCAAATATTTAGCTCGAAGATGTACAGTTTCAGATGTAATGGAAGTCTGAGTGTCTGACCTTATTATTTGTTCAGTAACCACTTTGAAAACATGAGAAAGTAATAAGGAACTCCGTATTTGCTTACGCAAAAACCTGAAATAGTCAAGTAACTCAAAACTCCTCTTCAGCAACACAAAGGTTAACAGAAAACCCAAGCATCATAACGTGCTAGAACCCAAAAATAGGATAACATTTTATTAAAAGGTTATGACACAACTAAAGCATTATGATGTGCTTGAACCCAAAAATAGGATTATATCTTATTAAAGTGAATGACATGCCATCAACATTAAAAATGTCCATAATTGTCTTGTAATCCAAAGGCATGGCATTTCCACGCCTGTTTTTATTACAGGTACTCACAATATTCAAGTATAAATCTCCATGCAAAGCAAACAATGCGGCTATGCCTGAAATTGAAAAGTTTTGATAGAAAAAAGACAACAGAAAAAGTTCAACATGTTTGTTGAGAGAGATAAATAGACATGTGACTCAACCCGTGTGTTTTAATTACACTCCATAGGTTTATTGGATCCATTTGTTTAAACTTAAAAGGAAGTGTTTTTAAACAAGTATTTTTTTTAAAAAAAAAAAGTCTTAAAGAAGCAGATAGGAGTTGCTTTTTAAAAAAAAACTTTAATAAAGCAAAAAACTGCTTATTTAAAATTAAAAAAAAAAAAGGTTAGACAAACACATCAAAAAGTTAAAAAGTGCTTATTTTATTTTTAAAAAAATTAAAACAAAAGAACCAATTTATGCAAGAGAAATACATTACATGTGCATGATGAGGCAATATTTAGTTTCCCTAAAATGTAATATATTCCCTAAATATCTTATTTTCAATACTTTCACTCATTCTAAAACATATAGATCATACGCACATAGATTGTTATGAATATAGTCAATTCTTGGACCACTTAGTGATTTAGTGAAGGCATCTGCTAGTTAATCACAAGAGTTGTTGAACTTAGTGATGATTTCTATTGACTGAATTTTTCTATTGACTCAACATATCATGAAGGACAAGATTGGATGCAATGTGTCAGTCGGCCTAATTGTCACAAATTAGGGTCATTTGCATCTCTTCTTCAACTATGAGTTCTCTTAGAAGTTGTTTCAACCAAATGAGCTCACAAGTTACTAAAGTCATAGCTATGTTTTCTACTTCAGCACTTGATCTTGCTACAACTGCCTGCTTCTTGCTTTTCCGAGACATCAAGTTCCCTCCAATTAGCACACAATAGCTTGAGGTAGATCATCTGTCACTGGGTGAGGCTACCTAGTCAACATCTGAGTAGCCAACTATTTGAGTGCGACCATTGTCTTCATACAACAAGCCTTTGCAAGGGGATCTTTTAATGTATTCAAGAATTCTGATTACAGCTTCCCAATCTTAACATAAGGAGTTTAAGAATTGGCTTACCAAACATAGGACAAGCAATACCTGGTGACAGTGAGATAATTTAGTTTTCCTACTAACCTTTTTGTATCTCCTAGGATCGTATAAGGGCTCCCTTTGACATGGCACCAATTTGATATTGGGGTCCATACGGGTGTCCATAGGTTGGGCATTTAGTATGCCAATTTCTTCAAGGATGTCTAAAGCGTACTTTCTCTGAGAAATTACCAGTCTAGCTTTGTCTTGAACCACCTTAATACCTAAGAAATACTAAAGCTTCCCAAGGTCCTTTGTTTGAAATTGCAGGAAAGGTACTATTTCAAATGGATAATGCCATGGCCACTGTCTATTTATGCCATCCATGTATACAATGAGGTAGAGGCACCATGAAGGGGAATGGCGGTAGAAGACAGTGTGTTCAGCTTCACTAGAGTCAATCCAATGTTACACCACTATCAAATTTGCCAAACCATGAACAAGGGGACTGTTAAACTCCATAGAAGGACTCGTGATGTTGATAGACCATGGTAAGGCCACCTGGCTATACCTTCCACCACTAGTTGAGCTTTGAAGCGACCTATTTTGCTATCAAAACCAACTTTGAGGGTGTAAAGCAAGTGACACCCAACAAGAGATTTATCGGGTGGAAGAGGAACCAATTCCTAGATAACAATGCCATGAAGTGCACACATCTCATCAATCATTGATTGCTCTCATTCATGGTGAGATGATGTTTCACCTAAAGAGTTAGGTATAGACATAAAGGACAACACTTGAAATTTGAATTGTGGCAAAAAATTACTGAGTTTTACACTTAGCTAGGAGAGTTATAATAATATCGGTGTAACTTTTACTAAGTATTACACCGCTCAATAACTTTATATTAAATGTGAATTTTTTAAATTTAACTGTGAGATTGAAAGTTCTTTATCCTTAGATCATATATACAAAATTTTATATTAATCCAAGATGATTTAATACTTCATTTTTATAAAATAAAATTGACGAAATATATTCATTTCAAAATATACTAAAATATGAATACTATGATTACCTTCAAGTTGTTGTTCAATTTTAACAAAATTTGATATAAACATATAAAATGATATGAACTTTCACTCTAACGATTGAATTTAGAAAATTCACATTTAATATAAAGTTATTGAGTGGTGTAATACTTAGTAAAAGTTACACTGATGTTATTATAAACCTTCTTATATATATATATACACACACACACACACATATCAGAAACCATAGTAGTCAATCCCGGATAGCGGAGCGGAGCGGTCCACCCTAAAACTGGGATAGCGGGATGACGCGGAGCGGGATAACCGCTATTTTAATATTAATTTATATATATTAAATAATTAATAATATATATATAAAAGCTAAA